GTATTTGGGGCTCGCCTACAAAGATATTTTTGACACTAGATGATCTGGGCCTGTGACATGCAACTGTGCTCTGTTCCCTGGCTGGTGACTGGGATTCTGAGATTTGCAACAGCTTCCATGGCTGGATTTTTCCTTCACACATCTCTCCACATTGCATACTCCTGCTTACATGCGACTCATTTCTAGCGAGTCTATACGGGAAGAGAGGCCTGCAGGACCCAGCCATACAGAAATACATACTGAAATGTCAAAGGCCTGCCCAAGCCTAGTGGCCTATTGTACAAGATAGGCATATTGTGTGTTTAAGACAAAGCAGTTTCTCTAGCTAATGGGGGACACAGAGCCATATGGCTAGCATCACATCCAGCCACCTTTGACTCTGTGGTCTGAATGCTCACACTCCTGGCAGGGCTGACTGGGAACAGCCTGTGGTGCGAGTCTAGAGCAGCAGTTGGCCAAAACAGCCCAGCTCAGGTCTGATGCAGGCCGGCACTTGTGACCCAGCCACTGCCACAACTGCTGCCACTTCTCTCCCTGCCACAGCATGGGTAAAGCTCCCGACCACTGGAATGCGACTGAAGCCTCCCAACTCATTAAACTCCCAAGGCTGCATTAAATGGTTCAGGTTGCCAATTCCTGGTCGAGAGTCCAAAAATTTGCCTCCTTCAGGCAGGCAGTTGGCACTGACTATTGCAGGCTGCTGCCCCTCCCTTCCTGCTAAGTTCCAGCTCCTTCTGGTTTTTCCTCTTATCCCTGAAGCAATGCCATATCCACTACACACAGAAGCATCTGAACATGGCCCAAAACAGAGTTCAGTCCTCACCATGTAAGTTGGGCCAGCTGTACTGGCCCTGAACCTCAGCCCAGCTAGAGAACCAACAGCACTAACATTTGATATTGATTGCTCCAGGCAGAAGGTCCATTTTGTACGCTTTAGTCTCTCTAGCACCTGATTAACCATCTGGTTCAGGCATTTACACCCGGGACCAATGAAGCACAACTCTCTGCTAATTGAAGGCAGAGCTGATGCATTCTTGTGATATGCAGTGGGGCATAGTATGAACCCAACAGATGCTGCTAATTTAAATTCCACACATGAAATGCTGCACCTACTGAATTTAAATAAATTTCCACTGGACTTCCTGTTGCAAAAGCAAACTCTGTTATTCTAACTAATTATCAACTGCTTTTGCAATAAAGCTCTCATTTCATGTACTGTATCTAGAACTAAGAAAGAAATATAGGCATTGTTGGCAATGAAGTAATTCAGGGTTAGCAAAAGCCAGCCAGGAAAATCATAGCAGCAAAAAAAGGACATGTTTCATAGTAATTAAAGCCAATTACCTCATGGCAAAGACATGAATAATTCATATAGTAAACTCAAAGAACTCCCAAAGAAAGAATCTGAAGGGTGATAAACACTTATTCTACGGACCGGCTTTTCTTCTGTTATTCTGCCCTGCTTGACCCTCTCTGTGGATATATTGTCATGTGCACCCACTCAATTGAAGAGCTCCAAGTCATTCTTGACTCCTTCTATGAAGCATATGAAATGCTTGGACTCACTGCCAACTTCTCAAAAACCAAGATCCTTTACCAGCCTACCACAAGCCAACCAGCTGCTCCCCAACATATCCCAAATAGAGAACAGCCCTTGGAGAATGAGCATTCCTCCTACCTGAGTAGCCGCCTTTCCCAAAAAGCAAAACAGATGATGACATTCAAAACTGGATAATACCTGCCAGTGCTGCCTTTGAATGTCTCCAAAGTCATGTCTGTGATGAATGATGACCGTGACATCATGACCCAAACCAAACTTTTTGTCTACCAGTCTGTTGACATTCCTACCCTGTTGCATGGACACTGAACTTGGATGACATATTGGAAATAGCTGAAAGTCTCGCAACATTACCAGCAGCAATGTTTTTTTCAAAATTCACCATATCAGCTAGGACAGAAGAACAAATATGAGCGTTCTAGCTCAAGTAAACACCAGCAGCTTTGAAACCACGTTTATACAGTACCAGTTCCATTGGACAGGACATCTCATAAGGATGCCTAACAACCAACTCCCAAAACAGGTTTTATTCTACCAACTCAACAGTGGTCAGTGCTCTAGAGCTGGGTAAAAGAAGAGATTCAAGGACACCTTGAAGACCAACCTGAAGAAATGCATTAATAACAATACTTGGGAGACTCAAGCACTGAATCTCCTACAATGGCGACATGACATACAATCCAGGGGCAGGCAATTATTTCAGGTGGAGGGCCACTTACTGAGTTTTGGCAAGCCATCGAGGGCCACATGGGTAGCCCCGCCCCTTGACAGGTGCCCCACCCCCTGGTTTCCATCTTGGGATCAGAAGTCCCACCCCTTAACTCTTGACATTTGCCACCAAAGTCCCTCCCCCCGCCCCCAGAAGTACTCCTTTCAGCAAGGGGTTTTGCCATCTCTGAACCAGAAAAATACCAAGTTATATTCTAAAAATCAAACATGTACTACAACATTCATTAATTTAATTTTAAAAAATATTTTTGTCCTGATTCACATGTGTTTGTGTAGTGCACACAGAGGTGATAGTATAATAGCTTAAAATGAAGTCTTGCTCTTGTATATTGTGGGGGGTGTAAGTGGGAAAGATTTGTGGGGTGTGGGAGAGGGTGTGTGCACTGGATTTGTGAGGGGTGTGGGTGGGTATGGGTTTTGTGGGGGACTGAGAGTGTGTGTGGGGAGGGTGGCTGGGGAGGGATGTGACATGCATGGAGAGGGAGGGCAGAGCCCCCACCAGTGCTCCTGCAAGCCCAGGCTCTGCATTCCTGATACTCTTGGCCCTGGGGCAGTGAGTGGGTGTGCAGAGCACACCAACAGCCAGGCGGGAGCGCGGGGCCTGCACCAGTGCACTGGGGCCAGTGCTGGTGGGGCCCAGAGTGGGACAGTAGGAGCACCTAGTCCAGGCAGCCAGAAATTCTATGGAGCCAGGGTGTGCCACTCAAGCAGGGAGAGGAGGGAGCTAGCTTGGCTCCATAGAGCCCCTGCTAGCCCAGGCCCCATGCTCCTGCTGCCCCACTCTGGGCCCTGCCGGCACTGCCCCTGTGCACCAGCATGGGCCCCACACTCCTGCCCAGCTATCACTGCACTCCGCGTGCCCGCTCACTGCCCCTTCCCTCCGCCTGCCACAGCCATTTCCCCACTTGCTTGCCCGCCCACCAGCACCACGTGGTTCCCAGCTGCACCATCATCATCGCAGGAGCCCACCTGGCTGGTCCTGAGGACTGGGGCAATCCCCCACAGTCCTCCCCTGCCGCCCTCCCCCCCACCTTCCTATCTGTATTTCCCTTGGCACAGGGAGGAAGGAGCAGTTCCAGCCCAGAAGCCCCCGATAGGTAGAGGCTTCCCGCTGGGGCAGGGCCAGGCCGGACTTGCTGCTGTTTAGTTCTGTCGCTGGCTCCCCCTGGGTCCTACTGCCCCGTCTCCTGTCATCTTTGACAGACAGCCAGGGGCAGATAAATATTAATTTAGGGGCCTGGTGAGCCGGATAGAATAGCCTGGAGGGCCAGATCTGGCCCACAGGCCATATTTTGCCCACTCCTGCATTAATCATTTTGAGGAAACTGGCATCACTATAGCGGACAGTGAGAAAGACAAAGGGAAA